ATCGCCTTTGACAATGTCTACCGCAGCAGTAGACGAAAGGTCATGCATAAAACCTGCAGACCACTGCCAAAAAATCCGGAAAATAGCCTCCATACAGTATCTTTGATTAGTCGAGCACCACCGAGAAAATTATTGTTTAATGACATTTCTAGCTTTCGATGCTGTTTTCTCTGCGGTGCATCCCTCGATTACGATCGTTGTGTTATCTACGTACATGAATAACCTTGCCTCCTTTATGTTGTTGGGAAGATCATTCACATACAGCAGAAACAAGAGTGGTCCAAGAATGATCCCCTGAGTTCCAAGTTCTCCTTCATTACTTTCAGACAATCACTTATCGATATTCACTATCATTTGTTGCTTCTTTGTCAACGATATTAACCAGTCGTTGACCTGACCCTTTACCACAAGAGAATGTAACTTAGGTTCTAGTATATTTCATCAATTCGGACTTCCATTGTCTAATATAATATAAACTGATTTGAAATCCCTGAAAAAAAGATTAACCGAAAATAACAACTTTATTGAACAAAAACTGAAATAACAAGGAAATAACATACAAGCAACAAAAAAATAAAAATTGAAATATTAATAAAAGCTGAAAAAAAAATTCTAAGAAAAGTAATCATGGAGTTACTAGGATGCTGCGTACGAAACTGCTACTTCCAACTGGAGGACGAATTCTTTACAGAAGACTGCCAATGACTGCCAATGGGATCGCCATTTTTCACCGGTTGTAGTTAATATATATATATGGAGTGGTTTGAAACTCTGACCATTAAAGAAGCCCACAAAAAGCCCCGAGTCTGGTTGAGATACGTAGACGACACTTACATAATATGGAACCATGGGAATGCAGAACTAGACACTTTCCTGAAGCACATCAACAACGTAAGTCCTTCCATCACTTTCACAATGGAGAAGGAAGTCCACAACGAATAGTCTTTCTTAGACGTATTGGTGAAGAGAACCGACACTAAATGGGAAAAATCTGTATATCGAAAACCCACTCACACAGGACAGTATCTGAACCAGAAATACAACCACCATCAATCGACTAAGGGAGGAATCATCAAGACTCTACTAGACCGTACTTTCGGGCTCTGCAATACAAAGGATGGTCTCGAAAAGGAACTAAGCATCATCGAAAATGATCTTCAACGGAATGGTTACTCCAGAGTGATGGTAGAACAGGTTTTAGCTAGAAGACATCAAAAGCTCCATAAGGAAGAGAAGCCACCACAACAAGTACTTGTACTTCTCTACATCAGAGGATTATCGGAAAGGATAAGTAGGATTGGGTCCAAGTATAACATAACATGAGGACCTGCTTCAGATCTGGGAATACTATCCGTAGCAGCCTCATAAAAATAAGGCCACCAAACGCGGACTTCTATTCCAAGAATTGCATTACCTAGCACAAGAAACACACACAGCGAGGAGAAACCAGCAAATCCGGTATAGCAGATCATGTTTGGAATCATCTACATAACATCAAGTGGGCTCAAGCTGAAATCATCCACAAAGATGGTTTAGGAGATTGGAAGGATTGGTTTAGGAGATAATTCAAAGAAGTCGGGTATATGTTGTCCAACAACGCATTTAGTCAAGTTAGCGTAGAGATACGTAACATATGAAAACCTCTAATCAAGCGAAAAATGACCAACTCCCGCCATACGGTCATCTTCCGCTAAAATCAATGAAGCGGAGAGAGAGAAAAGGGGATAAGTGAAAGCACTCGAATGACCTATGAATAGTCAGATCTAGGAGGAATAAGTTCAGTTATCACCCGAAGACGATTGTGTATACTAACAATCGAAACGTCGTGATGTAATTTTTTTGTTGCTTGTATGTTATTTCCTTGTAATTTCAGTGTTTGTTTAATAAAGTTGTTATTTTCGGAGTTCACGGATTTCAAATCAATTTATATTATATTAGACAATGGAAGTCCGAACTGATAAAATACACCACGAAACATTGTCAACCACCTGCAAACATTAGTTTCTAGTATTTCGAAAATATCGGTGTGAAAAGCTCGGGATAAGTCAAAAAATATTCCAAATACTACTTTATTTCCTTCTAGTTGGTCATAGGTGGACTGAACAAGGTCAGATGTAGCAGTTTTCGTACTAAACCTTTCGCTAAAGCCTTATTGGCATTTAGTGAGTAGTTCGAATTTATTTAGCAAGTTATTTATTTGGATTCAACACAGTAAGAACAGAGTCAGTGACAAGTCTTCGGGGTCAAGTAGATTACGACCGCGTCGTTGAGTCATGTAACTTCAGTTTCATTTTATTCATGGAAATGGCTTCAAAGCGAAAGCCGAAATGATGAAAACTTCAGAAGCGGTTCAACTCGGACCTAAGTACACCATTGGTGACCGCAGATAGGTTTCTGCAATTGTGATATTATTTGATTGTAAAGGAGAAAGGTTAATACAGTCAAGCTGCTGGAAAATAATTTCATGAAAAGCAAAACATAAATAGATAAGTACCTACTATTCCAATAATTCCCCAATTGATTTCAATTTAAGAGCCACCGGTGGCTCCACTTATGTCTCGCTTGCGTTCTTGCAGTTATTTTCATTAAGTACTTTTCTTGGTTATTCACATTTTATCTTCAATCGAGGACCGCCTGCCCGGTACTAACGATGCCCAATTGGCTGAAACAGCTGTCTGTGGCAACCATAGACACGTGATTCGGGCTTTTGGCCCATCATCAGTATGGTGCAGCCAAGTGTAAAGATGGGCAACACTTGGTTACCGAAAGAAAGAAATACACCAGCAGAAGCCTGCCGCACATTTGTGGTTTCAGTTGATAGATCTTTTGTTTACAAGAAAACTATCAAAATCACCACGGAGGCAACTATAGCTACTTGCGTGACATCCAGGTCCAGGAAATAATACAAATATGAAGGTTATTGAGTGCCTTGATATAGACACAGAAGTTATTAATCGGTAGCTATAGCTGCCTCCATTGTGATTTTGATAGTTTTCTTGTAAACACAAAATCTATTAACTGAAACCACAAATGTGCGGCTGGCTCCTGCTGGTGGCTCCGTGCATTTGTATTCCTTTCTTTCGATAACCAAGTGTTCCCCATGCTTAAACTTGGCTGCACCGTGCTGATGATGGGCCAAAAGCCCGAAACACGCGTCTATGGTTTGCCATTATCTTGAGTGCTATGTTTGATTGATAACTTCTGTATCTATATCAAGACACTCAATAACCTTCATATTCGTTTGATTTGATTCGTATGATAAAAATGATTCCGGAAACTATCAAAAATCACGTCTATTTAATTATTTGAATGGTGAAAGTGTTCCTTACTGAATAAATAGCTGAATTTCCATATAGTGTCAGGGTTAGTGATGTTTTATTTAACAACTGGTTTAATACTTGAATATTTTTCATGAACTGCGACGGATGAGTCGAAGATCCATGGTCTATATTATTAGTGGCTTTAAGATTGGTTAAATTTGATATGTTTTCTAGTCCGGTAGAACACGTCTTGCCGTCGAATCGGAATAAAACAAGCGTTGGTTCATTGATATGGTTAATAAGTTTGTATGAATTCAATATTCAAATTAAGCTTTCGTTTCTGGACAATTTGTGTGTGAGAAATTGATAATAAGTCACCACAAAGTATTATGTGATTGTGCTTTTTTATTATTATCGAAAGGATTGAATTCAACTTATTGGGGAAATCTTTTCACCTCCATAACTTACTGAAGAACCAATGGACAATAACTTGTCGTATTCATGAATTTTGCTTACAAATTGAATGATCAATCAATGGATAACATGGAAATTTCATACTCAGCTCTCGTTTTTTCCCTCAGTTTTTGAAGTATTCAATGAACTTGATTTTCCATTTCAATATTTTTTCTTCCGCAGTGCGTGATTTGCATCAATGCCAAAGCCAATATGTTGACGATACCATGTGGACATCAAGTAGTTTGCCGAAAATGCTTCGTCAAAACCATCAAAAATGCAGTTGCACAGAGACTATTACCCTTGAGATGTGTCATTTGCAGATCAAAAGTAATTCGATTGAAGGTAAGTTCCTTGCAGGAAAAGACGAAATCAGCACTCTATGATTCCTTCTTGAAGAAAGTTGTGGATACTCAAGATATGCCTCACTATCTGTTCACTATTCAAGAACTCTTTCATTTGCAGATCTGCGTTTATGTCGAGTAAACTTCCGCAGAACGTTTCTCCAAATGGATTTAAATTTCAGCGATTTAAATTCAATGAGAAACACTACTTTCTCACGGACATCGCTTTTAGAGCGCCTCAAAGATTTTCCTATAGTGCTTGTGTTCTGTCCTTTAAAAAAACACTGTTCTCATTGATAAAGCTAGTACAATGTTAGTTAGTTATGGGAATAGTTGAGACGGAATCTAGGTCTAAAATATCATTGAAAAATACCAATTATCGGAATGATATAAATACAGTCAATTGTAAATAAAGTTAGAACATTTCTAAAACTATACCTACAGGATGCTTTTTTATCTGATCCCTCCATTGCTATGGTGAAAACGGTAAGACCTACAAGGTCGGTTTAATTGGACAAAAATTTCCTATTTTGGGGAACTAGAATAATCTCTGTTCAGATCGAAAATATAAGTAATTGTTTTTGGAATATACGCTATAAACTAGAATTGTCGAATTTTGTTTTTTGGCCTACGAAGTGATCAACCTACCAGGACGAGGATTTGAGGACCCTAATGGAGACAGACCCATCACATATGGTGCGTGGGATGATGAAATCTACAATTTCTCCATTGTTCATTCAGCCGTGTACCCATGGATCTTAGTGGTACCGATATAAACTTTTCCGCAGATGCATGGTATAGGATATAACCCCGCAGACTTTGATGTATTTTCCTGAAAAAAAATGAAAACATTGTTTTCATTTTATGCGTTAAGTTACGTTAGGATGCAGTTCCAAACTACGATGGCCTTCAAACCCGAATGGTGATAGTGACACTGAAAATCTCGGCCGCGAAGGCCATAACCTATTTATCAGATAAAATTTAGTTTATTACTCTCAAATTATTTTCAAACCTCATAGATTATTTAGCACTTTAAAACATATAATTCAGTAAAAATAACTCATGCAGCTGACAAAAAATTTTTTTTCGCAGACCTGTGTAATCGGAATGATATAAATACAGTCAATTGTAAATAAAGACAGGATATTTCTGAAAACTATACCTACAGGATGATTTTTAATCTGATCCCACTATTGCTATTTTGAAAACGGTAAGACCTACAAGGTCGGTTCAATTGGACAAAAATGTCTTATTTTGGGGAACTAGAATAATCTCTATTCAGATCGAAAATGTAAGTAATTGTTTTTGGCCTACGAAGTGATCAACCTACCAGGACGAGGATTTTAGGACCCTAATGGAGAAGGACCCATCACATATGGTGCATGGGATGATGGAATCTACAATTTCTTCGTTGTTCATTCAGTCGTGTACCCATGGATCTTTTAGTGGTACCGATATAAACTTTTCCGCAGATGCATGCTATAGAATATACCATGATGTATTTTCCTGGTGGGCTTCAACATTGTTTTCATTTTATGCTTTACGTTACGTTAGGATGCAGTTCCAAACTACGACGGTCTTCAAACCCGAATGGAGTTAGTGACACTGAAAATCTCGGCCGCGAAAGCCATAACCTATTCATCAGATAAAAGTTAGCTTATTACTCTCAAATTTTATTTTCAAACCTCATAGATTATTTTCAAACATCCATTGTCTAATGTAGACGAAAGGTCATGCATAA